GGGGGAGGCAAAAGCTACCGTTCTGGCACAATTCAACTGTCAATTATCTGATGACTTTCTTTAGTGTTCTTCAAAATCAAATGCATCTGTTTTTCCAAGGTCGCAAATCGAATCTGTTGTATCGAACCAGAATGGTATCATTTTCATCTTTATGGAGGGAAAAAAACTCATTTCGACTGAATTTGGTAGGTAGTGTGCATTGGGCATAAGCTACGTCTGAACGATGGATCTTGTTCATGACCAGTCTATCGCTGTGTGTGTCAGCCTTTGTCTTGTCTCACTAGATGATCCTTTTATTGTGTTTTCACTTATCTCTCTTTTGCACTCAGTGATCCTTATTGTGTTTCTATGTACCTCTCTTGTTGTGTTTTCACTTATCTCTCTTTTGCACTCAGTGATCCTTATTGTGTTTCTATGTACCTCTCTTGTTGTGTTTTCACTTATCTCTCTTCCGCACTCAGTGATCCTCCTTGTGTTTCTGCGTACGTCTGTGTTACTGAAACATGAGACCGACTAGACAACAACAAAGGTACACACAAGGGGGTATATATATATATATGCTAAGTCAAAAGAGCTGAGAATGCTGGGAGGTTCTAGTGACAAAGTCTGTGGCCGGGATGTCTGGTGTGACGGTGGACGTAGATTGTGGAAATGTCAGCCTGTGCAAACAGGGGAAACCTGTAGCTTCACGTTTTAATATATGCAAATAAGTCTCTTGACAGTTGACGGTAGGGGACAGATGTGTGTGTGTGTGTGTGTGTGTGTGTGTGTGTGTGTGTGTGTGTGTGTGTGTGTGTGTGTGTGTGTGTGTAACTTGGTAATCTGCAGTTTATGACACTGTGTTTTTGTATGTTTTACTACATAAGGTGTATCTAGTTAATGACACTGTAACTGTGTGTTTATATCGTGTTTGATTTGATAATGTGTAGTTTATGACACTGTGAGTGTGTGTTTATATCGTGTTTGATTTGATAATGTGTAGTTTATGACACTGTGAGTGTGTGTTTATATGTGTATAACCGGGTAATGTACAGTTAATGACACAACGGGTCTGTTATTAGTTGCCTGTATATTAAATGAGTGTGTTAAAATGTTTGGAAGTGAGTGGTTGGCAGGTGCTCTGTGTGGTTCGCTCCTTCTTTCCTATCAAACGTCTATCGTCCTTATCTCCCCTTCTTCTCTTTTATGTTTGTTACTCTCTTGTAACACCTCTAATCTTCTGGCGCTCATATGACCTTATGCAGTTGCGAGCGCCGTAAAACCCTCTACTAAAACTAAACTTCTTTTTTTGTGTATGTTACTCTCTTGTAACACATCTTTTCTTCGGCACTTAAATGGCTTTATTGTGGTGCAAGTGCCGTAAAACACGTACTAAAACATAAAACAGTTTATGACACAAAGGGTCTGTTATTAGTTGCCTGTATATATTCCATGAGTGTGTTAAAATGTTTGGAATGTGTACATCGCCAGCTGGGTGTTTGGTTTGGGTACCACAAACATCCTGTCTGTGAAAACCACATGCCTCGCTCATACACAGCTTGGAATGTTTAGTACGTGGATGCTGATGGAAAAAAAGGGTTGAACATTTTCTGTGGTCCTAAGCATTGATTGAAGTAATTTAATATATTAAAATAAATTCTTCCTCAGCTTTTATACTTTCCCCCTAAATATTTGATATTCTTTGCTGAATGGTGGTGTGCGCGTGTGTGTGTATGTGTTTTTGTGTGTGTGCGTCTTTGTACATGTTTGTGTGTGTGTGTGTGTGTATGTATGTATGTGTGTGTGTGTGCTTGTGAGTGTGTGTGTGTGTATGTGTGTGTGTGTGTGTGTGTGTGTGTGTGTCTGTGTACATGTTTGTGTGTGTGTGTGTGAATGTGTGTGGGTGTATGTATGTGTGTGTGTCTGTGTGTGTGTG